AATTAAAGTTGGTTGGTTCAGTAATTAAAGTCTCAATTTTAGTAATTCAATCTGCAGTTTTTATTGTCACGAACCCTAAGCTCGTAACAATAATACATGTATGTAATTTTTTAAATTGATAGGAGAGATTTTTTTTATATTTTCTGTTAACTATTACGACTTGAGCTATTATCCGATTCCGGCTTGACGTCGACTTCTGGGACAACTGAAAAAACCATAGAATACTATAATACACACACAAAAACCTTACTAAAAAGAAAACGACATTAAGATGATCTAGTCTAAAGTTGATTTTGTAACTAAGTGTATCTAAAACAAACGAACGCCACAGGGGCTAAGCGCCCCTTTTTACTTATTATAGACACAGTGCTTGACTTCAATCCCACCTGGTAGTAAGCGGTGGTAAAAAGAAGTAAAGTTACAGCCTATATACGTCCCACTGCTAGGCACAGGCCTCCCCTCATTTCTGAGAGGGTTTTAGGGCAAGGAAGTGTCCGCTGCTCTACCCCAACGCGTGTTGGCGAACTTCACATGTCTTAGAAATAATTTTTTCTTATTCCTCAGACATGCGGGTTCCTTCACGATGTTATCCTTCACCGCCGAGCACGTGGTTAATCAGCACTTACAATTGCAATTAACAATTTCATTGGTGCCGGCGGCGATCGAACCCGGGTTACTGGCGTTCTGTTATATTTACAGCGAGCGTTAACCATCTGAGCTACCACGGCTCGAAGCGGTGGTAAGGTCGCCATAAATTTTGTACTAAAGGAGCAGGTGGAGTTCGATCCCCGGGAGTGTAATCGAAATTAATTTAATTTTAAGCGCTAGTTTATCATGTGCTTAGAGATAAAAGAAAATATAATAGGACAACGTGCATTTCATGAGAAAAAAATATTTCGAGCACTTTTGAAGCTTGCTAAATGCTAACACGCACTGGAACAGCGTCTCGGACTAACTGCTCAATAACCTTGAATCTTTTAGAAAGGAGGCTTCGTCTCACTGCTTGGCACAGCCCTCCTGTGCTCCATCCTGTGTCATAACCTGTAACTAAAAAAGTCGATAATAAGAATTTTGCACCTCACGTTTTGTATTAGGGGGAGGTCCCCGAGAACCGGACACTTAAGGAACAATAAAAATAAAAAAGAACGTATAATAGTCTCATTTGTTTATTTCACTTTAATAAGTTCACAACTATAATATACTTAATAAACACAGATATATCAACAGCCTCAAATCTTAATTTAAATGTAGCAGGTACTAAGGAACATTTAACATAGAAAAAAGGACGTTTTTAAAAAGGTCCCCTAATGACGGGAAGCCAACTTTTCGTTCATTTTTAAACCTAAATATTATTTTAACAAACAATTCGTAAGAATATCTATTAAAATTGATCAAATCAGCAGTTTATAAAGAAAACTATCCTTAATTGTAATTAACTTTGGTCATAATTAGGAACAGTTTCTATAAAATTACAAAACTTTAATTGTACAAGCTGCAAAAATCGCAAATGTAGCTAACTAAGCTTTTTTCAATATTTCATGCTTGGGGGTATTCCCACAACTCGGTTTGGGTTTATAAATTTTGAATCTGAAGAACAAAACACAAAAATAATAACTACAACAAAAATAAACTTACTGTAAAACTGTCCGGTATTAGGGGACTTTGAGAGTGTCCGAACATAGGGAGCCTTAGGTACATACAAGAAAAATTCTCATTCACATTATGTGTTATGAATCTTAAAAAAACACTTGGGTTATATCAGATTAGTACAATAGCAATAATAATTAATAACAATGATTATCATCCCATACTTTAAATACTGTTTACAGAACCCAAAAAATTACTTCGAACAAAATTTTTACTAACCTTAAGATTTGCTACACGCTCCACGCCGAACGAGTCAGCACTAACTATTGACACGCTACCCCCACACTTCACTTGGGAAATGCTTTCTAACCACGACTCAAGCAACAAATTAGCGCGCTTTTTCGCACTGATTCAAAATCTGTCCGGCTTTAGGAGCCGTCCGGACTTAGGGGACTTCCCCCTATATGTTTTTGGTTAATATGAGAATATCATCAGTTTCAAACAGAGATTGCGTAAAGTAGGTATTATAGTTCTTTCAGCACGGATTATTCAGAAATAAAAATCTATTATGGAGTCTGTAAACCATATTGTTTATTTAAACACTATACAAATAGAATATTGAGCACTTCATTTAATAATTAGCCATAAATATTTATTAAAAGTATTGAGATGTTTATTGAGGACATCACAGGAAATGCAAACAACATAAAGGTATCCTCACAGTGCTTTACAACTTCCTGAGATATACTCATGAATATGAGTAATAGTCGTGTGCTTATATATCAATAAATTATTTAATTATTGTATGGGAATTTTTACCAATGCACCATTAGATAAATATTTTAATGCATTGATTTTTGTACCATAACTATATTTCAATTTACGTCCCAAAATAAATTTAAAAGATAGAATATAATAATATACCGAATTTATTGAGAGCAGGTAGCGTTACATCTTACATACTACATTATATTACATCTTACATTATATTGTCCATTAGTTGAGTGTAAAGCCCAACTGGCCCGACCTCTCAAAAGCTTAGCGTTCAAGATGTGGAAATCCTAAAAAATACCTATACTAATGTTATTGTTTTACTAACGTGAGCGACCGAGCCCGCGACTTCGCTGCGTGATATTTATTTTATGGTTAAACTTGGTTTCTATATTTAAAAACTCTTCGTTTTTTTCACGAGCCGTTTTGTAGTAAATGAAATGTATGAAAACTCTTTTTTAAAACAAAACACCAGTTTAATTACTTATGAACGATCTAGTTTTATAAATTTTAAGTCATCCTTAGTTGCTTAATGAATATTTTAATATAAACTGTTTGTACATGCACCTCGTATATAATGGAACGGATCGTTACGGAGAATGAAACGTTTAGTCCACCGCGCTGCTGCCATGCTTTTTGGTGGACTTGACGTGATCTCGAACATTCACGCAGGTCTATTCACGTGGTAAATCGGTACCTACAAATGCAGTTAATTATTTCATTAAGTGGGTTCCTCATGTAATGTAAAATTTAGGCTAAATGCCTAGAACCCGAGCTGCCACGGTTCTTCTGGTGAATGCTTAAAAGCAAATTCTCGCCCTAAACTATTTAAACCCACAATATGTCCAGGATAGAGTGAGAGAGAGAGAGAGTGAGAGAGAGAGAGAGAGAGAGAGAGAGAGATACTCACCGCAGTGTCTCAGATATGAAATCTAATACATCATTCCCTAAGTTATAAAAGTCAAATTGTCTTTATTATTCTCAATGGAGACTTATATGTACCTGTAAAATAAATAGTTTAGATTAGACCTTTTGAAATTTTCATAGAACACTATAATACACGATAGAATGGATACCAACCTTATTTTTTTACGAGAACCAATGCGCCGGGAGCATACATACAAGCGGTTACGTAGTAGGTATTATCACCACTGGAAACCCAATTCGCGCATTGATCGTACAAATTTTAATAAATGTTACAAACGCATTTTAATATTACATAAAATCAGACTCTATTCCAAGGCAGTAACAACGTATTCACAACGAATCCTTACAGCCCGTCTCTTTTTGAAAAGAAAGAGAAGGAATAGTTCTGTTTTGACACACTAAGTGAATTTTTACATTTTAGACTTTTGATCGATGTTCAATCATCATTAAAAAAAATCGTTCAAATTTTAATAAATATTAATTTGAAAATAGTACGCAAACTGATTGCAAATACAATCGCAGTAAGTACCTATATTTTTCCTTATTGTAAATAAAAACTTTTTGGACACTTAAGAGCGTATATTCAAATATTTTATAAGGTGGTGGAGCCACGCTGCAGCTATATTATTGTTGTAGCACGAATCACGGTCGGCTCGACCAGGGAAGGACCACGCTCTGACAGAATACCAGCCTAAAATATCAACTTAATACTGCTGTGTTTCGTATGGCGAGTGTAGAGATCCGAAGACCCTTTTTTACTGGAAACGAGGCATTCCATCCTAGTCCTCAGGGGTGATAACGCATCTGCGTTTTGATTCTTAATCGAGGGAGGATGTCTATGGGCCACAGCATCCACTTACCATTAGATGGTCTGTGTGCAAGTTTGTCACCCTTATTCTACAAAAAAAAATGCGCTAGTCGAAATCGCTCTGGAACGGCGTAATATTGACGCAAACTACTATGTTCTCTCTGTGTGCGTAATTGCGTGAGGTTGAGCGAACGCAAGGTTGCTAATGGTAATCTAATACGAATCGTCTTGATACTATTGGAACTAAAAGAATAAAATAATGAACACATAATAGCTTATGAAGTCGTAGCTAAGACATTGTGTGCATAAGAATTAATATCCGATGTAATTAATTCCCCGACATCGGAAGCCAATATATAAAAATATAAGACAACAACATAGCTCGTTACCAAAATATATTGCAGAAAGAAAATCCATGCTTTTCTATTTTAATGCGAAATTCCGTCCAGCTTTCATTACTATTCAAATTCCGCATTCGGCTGTTTTTCCAACACGTAATTATCGCACAAATGGGTGTTTTTGAAATAAGTTGCATAGAATACTATGAAATTAGTACACGTTGTGATATTTATTACAGTTAATGTAATGTTTATTATAGCTCGGCAACTTAGAATAATTAACAAGTGGTAAAATTAGAGATTTTGTACAACCGTATTTAATATAAATAAAATGAGAACGTCATCAATGCGCGTAATTAAGAATAACTCAAGAAACACTGGCCATATCTTGAGGAAATTTTTATGGGACTACACGAAAGTATCAACTTTCAAAAAAAAAGAATAATCAAAATTGGTTCATCCAGAAAACACACATAAAAAATATACAGTCGAACTTAATACCTCCTCCTTTTAGAAGTCGGTTAAAATAAGACGCAGTTTTTATAACGATCATTTTTTATTTTTTATAGGTGCACCCCTAGTGATGTCATATCCTCATTTCTTGTTCGCTGATTCGGTATATAGCAGCGGTGTTATTGGATTAAATCCGGAAGTAGAAGAACACAGGGTTTTTCTGGATCTGGAACCGGTAAGTTTAGATAAATATTGCTTTATTTTAATAAAAAAATTACGAATCTTTCATTAAGTATGTCTTAAATACACGACTCGTAGCCAATCCTGATCGGTAAATGAATAATGAATGAACATGTAAGCCAACTAAAATATAAACACAATTGTTTACATAGCGCTACGCAAGATTTTATGTCCACATAATTCAGTTTCTAGTGTTTGCATATACTCAAAACAAAGTCAGTACTACACTATGAACTTTTGTCCTCTATTCTTCTCCTTTTATGAATAATGAATGAACATGTAAGCCAACTAAAATATAAATACAATTGTTTACATAGCGCTACGCAAGATTTTATGTCCACATAATTCAGTTTCTAGTGTTTGCATATACTCAAAACAAAGTCTTAGTACTACACTATGAACTTGTCCTCTATTCTTCTCCTTTTATGAATAATGAATGAACATGTAAGCCAACTAAAATATAAATACAATTGTTTACATAGCGCTACGCAAGATTTTATGTCCACATAATTCAGTTTCTAGTGTTTGCATATACTCAAAACAAAGTCTTTGTACTACACTATGAACTTTTGTCCTCTATTCTTCTCCTTTTATGAATAATGAATGAACATGTAAGCCAACTAAAATATAAATACAATTGTTTACATAGCGCTACGCAAGAATTTATATCCACATAATTCAGTTTCTAGTGTTTGCATATACTCAAAACAAAGTCTTAGTACTACACTATGAACTTGTCCTCTATTCTTCTCCTTTTATGAATAATGAATGAACATGTAAGCCAACTAAAATCTAAATACAATTGTTTACATAGCGCTACGCAAGATTTTATGTCCACATAATTCAGTTTCTAGTGTTTGCATATACTCAAAACAAAGTCTTAGTACTACACTATGAACTTTTGTCCTCTATTCTTCTCCTTTTATGAGTAATGAATGAACATGTAAGCCAACTAAAATATAAACACAATTGTTTACATAGCGCTACGCAAGATATGTCCACATAATTCAGTTTCTAGTGTTTGCATATACTCAAAACAAAGTCTTAGTACTACACTATGAACTTTTGTCCTCTATTCTTCTCCTTTTATGAATATCTGTAGTTTTGTTTTAATTTTTAATCTAATAAATATAAAATATAACTATTATTTCAGAAAGAAACATTAATCTCTACAATTTTCTTATGAATTATCTTCCCTGCTATACCTAACCTAACCTAACCTAAATAATACACAGAACCAGGTTAAAACGGACATGAAATGAGCGTAACAAATACATGGCTGAAATCCTTAGAGTAATTACATACATACGTAACTCTGAGCTTAAAACCTTTCTTGACATTTATTTACTATATTTAGTTTAGTGATCCTAAAAAATACCTATACTAATCCTAAAAAATACCTATACTAATGTTATTGTTTTAATTAAACATCACTAACATTATATTAGTATTTGGTCTTTACCTATGATATTGTCGTTTTTATAACAGTCGGCAATGACCCGACATGATTTACACAAAAGGTGCGGCGTTATCAAACTTGTATGAAATTTTTTTATAGGAGAGGCAGCAAACGAGCACGCGGCTCACCTGACAGTAACTGACTACTGTCGCCGATGAATAACTGCATCACCAAGGGAATTACAGATGCGTTGCCAGCCTTTTAAAAAGAAGTAGGCTCTTGTCATTATGTCAGTGAGTTAAGCTGATCGAAAAAAGTTAAATCGCCGACGACTTGAACAGCTTTACGCTGAATGCGATCAAATGGAAGGAGCTGGCACTGGGAAGCCTCTGCCCAGAGATGGGAACAGTATTCCATGTTAGGCCGAACCTGCGCCTTGTAAAGTTGTAGGCAGTGTGCCGACGTGAAATACTGTGTCGCTCTGCTGAGCATGCCAAGCTTTTTAGAGGCCAATTTGGCCTTCTCTTCCACGTGACCACGAAACTGTACGTCACTCGATATGTCGACTAAGGCTAAGGCAATAAGGAAAGTGCCTTGAAACTAAGGAGATACGAAGAAGGAGTTCTTTTTAGATTTGTGCCAATCCCGATCGAAGGTCTTCGCTATGTCCAAACTAACAACGCCTCTACCTTGGACTCTACTGCCTCCTCCCATCTATGAGTTAGGTAACCCAGAAGATCACCAGCTGAGCGACCCCGATGAAAATCGTATTGGCGGTCACTAGTCAGCTGGTTATCCTCAAGGTAACTCATGAGCTGACAGTTTATAATTGTTGCCATTATTTTGGAGAATAAGGAGTTGATAGCGATAGACCTGTAGTTGGAGCGGTTCCATGAGTTCGAGACTACGCCTAGGAAGTAGGAATACCAAAAAAGACGCGCTAGAACGGTGCCAACTCTGGAGCACACGTCTTTAGCACAATAGGAGTGACTCCATCAGACCCACTCGACTTCTTGACGTTCGGGAACATGAGTGCTCTCCGCAACGAGCGCTGGGTAAACAGCACATCCTGCAGGGAGTACTCACCATGCGTGATAATCGGCAGTGTGTTCTCGCCGTCATCAAGAGTCGAGTTGGACGCAAAGAGAGAGCATAGGAGATCGGCTTTGTCCTTTGCGGCATGGATCATTAAGTCACCTCCCTGTGCAGAGATGGGAGAGATGGTTGGCAGAAGTTCTCTTGGACAGCTTAGGCGAGAGACCAGAATGCACATGTTTCCGAAGGAAGTCAGACTAGTTTCTCGCCAATTCTGCCGATGTGCTCTGAATTTGCCCTGGCAATGATACTTTAGAACGGACCTGGAGGTGAAATTATACTTCTTTTTAAGAGCGCTGGTATTTGCATCCCGAGACGTCGATGCGTCAGCCTAGGCCCGGTAGCACTCCTGCTAATGGCGTGGTACAATTTTGCAGGAACGACCAAACCATGGCTGCGTTGTGCCTCCAATAGGTACCACAAATGATAGAATAAAAAGTTTTGTTCCCTGTAGCATTACATCAGCGACAGAATCAGCAATAACGCTGGGATCAGCCGGGAAGAAGCAAACTCGCTCTCAAGGGATAAGATACAAAAATATCGCTTCCCGTCCCAATCGGTTGACCTATAGCGCCAAACACGGCGGCAACCTGCAGAACGCAACCGCGATGGGAGCGTAAATGGCACCGTACTCCGAATCAGACAATGGTCCGAGAAACCAAGAGGGGGCATTGAAGGATAACTGATATCCGTCCGGATGAGAGATCAGCAGAATGTCGAGCAGGGAATTAGGTCTTCGGCTACCTGCACTCGTCAGACAAAACGTAGAAGCGAAGCTTCTTATTCTCGCTGGTCTTTTAATATGTCGTGGTACCCGGTTCGAGCCGGCCCATACGTGCAACAGCCTGGGCTCCGCGGAATAGACAACATCTTATGTCTCCATCCAGTTCGATTACAATACTTTATCTAAGATTCCAAGGGTCTAAAGGTAGAGAATGCCTATAGGCATAAAATCTTTTTTAAAGGGCAATGCAAAAAATATTTGGCAAATAGATTCAATAATATTTCAAAATATTACAGATTAAAGCAACTGGGCTACTAACATAATATATAATTTAATTTAATTTTTCATCACAGAACACGGGAACAATTGTAAGAGGCGCGAAAAGAGCACAGTTCAATATCTTCTTACGACCCATAACGTCCGTGACGGCGACGAACAACCTTAACACAACATTGACGCCTATTGTATGGTTTGAAGAAGTGAGTAATTATTAAGTTATACTTTTTAAATTTATTTTGCGTTTTAATGAATTTTTATAGCTTAGTATTATTCAAACAAAGGTTTCCACTCATAGATTTCTTTCCATCGGTGAGTACTCATTAGTAAAAATACAATTTTTTTAAAAGTATAACAAAAGTGGCTTTATATATTTTAATTACATGTTATCAAACTTACCAACTTAGCTCAAAACCTGAAAACTAAGTTTTACAACCAGTGCGTGTTGCCAGTGATGACCTACGGAACCGAGACATGGTCCTTCACTGCTGGCCGTATGAGGACGCTCAAAGTCGCTCAGCGAGCTATGGAGAGGGCTATACTTGAGGTTTCACTGCATGATAAACTTAGAAATGAGGATATCCGCAGTAGAACCAGAGTGACCGACATAGCCCAATGGATTAGTAAGCTGAAGTGGCAATGGGCCGGCCATATAGCTCGAAGAACCGACAACCGTTGGGGAAAAAAGGTTCTCGAGTGGCAGCCTCGTACCGGTAGACGGGGTGTAGGGCGACCCTCCACTAGATGGAGTGACGACCTGGTAAGACATGCAGGAAGTCGATGGATGCAGGTGGCTCAGGACCGTGCTTTGTGGCATACCTTGGGGGAGGCCTATGTTCAGCAGTGGACTTGTGAAGGGCTGTAATGATGATGATGATGATGATGAAACTTACTATAACTGTCCAGATAAGATTTTATAGTCAAATTTTGATAAAAATTGTTTAAAATAAGGCATTCAGTATTGTAGTTAAAAGTCGTAAGGGACGCGGTAAAAATGTTTAATATACCGCATAATGCGGAACTATTTTTAAAAAGAGGAATTATAATAATTTTTCCATTGTGAGAATTTGTTTACACTGAGGATAAAGGAGGTCTTGTAGAGAAGTAAAAGTTTACGTTTTTATATATAAAGAAAACTTTAAATATTAGAGATGACACCAATATTCGGTTTCTATTCGGTATTCGATCGAATATTGCGAACTATTCGGCCGAATACCACATCATGAAAAAAGGCGCACATTTACTCAAACTTAATTTTTAATAGATGTATGTTCAGCATTATTTGTTGATAGCAACCCTTTGCGCTTTCCCTTCTAACGATACCCACTTCTGAAAATAGCCTCTCACTGTATACACTGCTACCGAGCAAGGATAGATATTTTTTTGAGAATTCTGTCAGTTTTTGTAATTTTTGTGTGTTTGCTAACCACCACCTGTAAGGGTGTTGTCCGATCTAGGTGAACTGTTTTTAGATTAAAACCGATCTTTATTGCAATAGCACCTCAGTTGTTGGGATTCAAAACTTCTGGTTGGAGCCAGAAGTTTCGAATCCCTGCGTCGAATTTGTCGATCGAGTGGACATCCAGAGCTAAAAAAAGTTTGGTGTCAAATTGAGGGTTTTCACGTTTTTTATGGATACGAAGATAAGTTTCAATAGTTCTCATTTACTAATGGACTTGAATCTATTAATAACATCCACTGATTATCTTTATATATTATAAAATACAACAGCATGAGAGCAGTGGCTCAACGCACAAATAATACATATTAGGACTTTAGCATTAAGAAACGACTACTTAACATTAGAATAAAGAATTATATTAGGAAACAAACTTTTGATGATCAAAATTGATATAAAACACATACAATTTGCTATTTTCTTTACAATCCATTCTTTGAATCTATACAGAGTATTTCAATTGTTACAAATTTCTCGTTCTAGTACTGTGAATGATATCATTAAATCTGCGACTATTATAGATGTACAAGGGTTCAATAGAGATAATAATGAATTAATTGTTAAAGAAATTGCGATGCTCATGTCATGCTAGATCCTTGGGTAGGGTGTAAAGGTAAAAGTCAAAGTACATTGTCATATACATTTTATTTACATTTATTTTTCCTAGTACATAATCACATAATTAGTATATAATTAAAGATTTGTTGTCTCGATAAATCATTATTAACCATAAACTCACCAAATATTTTAATAAAATCTTTTAAGCTTAAAGTATAAAAAATTAAACAATATTCACCACAAACAGACGAAAATATACTTTGAAAAGAATTATTATTATAGATCCATTTTTTTTTTTTTGTTTTCTTTGTTTTTTTTTTATTAATTTCTTTGTAAAAACAACAAATGATAAATTTCGGTTTACCACCTAAAGTAAATGTAAGTAATTTATATATAAATAAAAAGTATGTATGTAAATAAGGATGGTTTAACCCAAACCATTCTTATTTACATATATTACTACCCAATATGATCCGGGTTTTGCATCGGGGTCTATATTACTGATCATACAAACAGGTGCTGTTACATGGATTTGGATTCGATTCGCATAAAAACATTAAATTCCCAGTAATGACACATTTTTCATACATTTTTCTATTTGTAAGGTATTCATAATAAAAGTACCTATGTGTATACTCTAACATAATCTAAATTTAACTACTAAACTCTATTCTTACATTCCTGTTTTTATCAATTTCAATAATATTGTCAAACTCAGCATAAACAATACAATTAACAGTCTGAGCGAGAGCTGTTTCAAATGTTACTTTTGATCCAAAACTCCCACGTCGTATAAGACTCCAATAAGCACTTGAATTTGCTGACAAATCGAGACTTAAATCAAAAGCCACTAAACAGTAACCATTAGCGTAACTATCTTTAGTAATACCATTACCTTTATTCAAAAAATGTATTCCAGTTCCGGTGAAAAAAGTATAGTAGTTCAAACCGCATTGCTGCTTTAGATGCAAGCTTTAGATGAAATATGCATTCCGTGAATATAAAGACTGAATGTGTTTATAACATAATTATCAAAATCATAATGATTCTTAAAAATACTACCATTGACAGCTGTATCATCCACAAAACCAAATATACACCTTTTAATACTTGACCTAGGAAAAATTATCAGAGTTTTACCTTGAATTCCAGATGGGATGGTTAGAACTTTTACTTCAGCTCTAGTCGTTACTAGTACCCGTTGAGTATTTAGCGGTTGTCGATGCTAAAACTTTTTGATAAGCAAGCAAAACTGATGGACTTATACGAGCTTTCCGAATCATAAGTGTAGCATCAGTAATAGAAACTTAAAATTTTACATCATTTGATGAACACATTAAATTAAATGCATCTCGAGACCGTACCAATTTTACAACCATTTCAACACCGTTTATTCACAGTTTCTCTTGGTTAAATATATTTTGACATATCATTTCTATCTCCTTACTTTCCTTACAAAGGCTTTCTCTTTTCATGTATCCTTTATTTGAATCATCAGTTGAATTCATTTTTCCAGCTGTTCTTCACACAGAGTCCACAATTAAGATGTGATTGTTTTGCTGTTGGGGCGTAATTCAGTAGTGTTTCAATGTACACGCGATATCATTTGGAGATATTATTTGGAGGTGAAACAAGTTTTTGATTTAAATAAAATCTAACTGACTAAATAGTAAGTAAAGTATTAGGAGTCACAGTTGTTTATATAATACCAAAGATGTTAGTCAAGATTTAGAAATTTTGCTTTTATATGTATAAAGTTGTGCGACAAATCTACGTATGTCATCGCCAGTTCCAGAGATTTGAAACTCTATTGATGTATCATTGACCACTTTCTATACTAGCTTGAGTAGCTGGTAAAGCAAATAAATCCGATTCTGACTTGATACGTTCACAAGAATAATTATGTAAGGATGACATAAAACTCTGAAAAATGATGAATGTAAGAGTAATTACATATATACGTACGCATAGAGAGAACCTATAATTCTATATAATATGAGGCAATATACTTGTCTAGCTTTTGATTTAATTTTCAAATAAGGTAAAAAGAGACTAATCTTTTGAAATATGTTCTGTGTAATCCATGAGTGTAAATAGAACTGTCAAGTGGTCATCTTCGGTCTCTTTATACTATGCTAAATATGAGAGTACACTAGTATCTTCTAACTTACTAGAAAAATAACATCTCTATTATAAAAGTAATTAATTAAAAATCTCAAATGTATTCTATAATTTTTTATTATTTAATTTATAATCATACACTCAATGGTACCTGTTATTAAATTAGTTATTATTTGATTAAATCGATATTATTTCTCGTTCTAATAGTTAATGAAAGTGCGTGTAAAAATTTTGCATTTGAAGAAAATACTTTCAATCATTACTACTACCCACTATCTGATGACGTCGAACTTCCCACATATAATACGAATTACAAAAGAAACAACGAGTCGATTGATGAGTTCTTCACGGAACCAGCAAAGAAGAAAATTAAAACAAAAAGATCGTCAACAGTGGGTCGTCCGAACAAAAACTCGATTACCTAATATGTGTCAAATAACACAAATGATAATACAGTCGCTACACATCTTATAAAAATAGAGGTGTACAAACTCAAGAAGTTGAGGAATGTGGACCAGTCTTCATAAACAATTTTTTGCGCTGGGAACTTCTGCCTTTTCTAATATCCAATTTCTGATATAGTGTGTTCGTGCATTTTTTATCATCATTTTTGACGATGAGCTTAGATTGTTCCTATTTCGACAATATGTTACATGAAAACTGTGAAATGGTAGGAACAGTGAATACAACTAAAAATAGTTTTTGGATCGTATTTTAATAAATATCTCGTGGATAGCTGTGAACAAATTGAACAAAATAACGGTCTTTACTTTACTTCGGTATATTTTAATAGAGTTCATATGCCTATAAATATAATAAATATTTTGTTTTGTCTTGTTTTGTCAACGTAGTTATGGTAGAGGTTTAAAACGGCATGCCGAAAATAATCTTAATAATAATAATGAAAAGAGACGACTGGAAGAGCCACCTGGACCTGGACCTGGACTTCAAGAAATATTGAACTTTATTTTGTATGCAAATTTTTACAACGAATTAATTTTTGATTTTCAAACCCGGAATTATATTCTTAATAAATCTTAAGAAATTCATATATTTATTAAATCA